CATGCTCCATGAGTGTTTCCGGGTAGCTGTGGTGGGCCAAACATCCAAAAGGATTTCACCCGCTGTCATTCGTGCCTGTCCTGCTAAAATGGCTGACTCGCGATATGCCACAGCACACCCGGCCAGCCGCGAGGCTGCGCTCGAAGCCACACGTGAGGCTAACAAAGAAGCATGGTTGCTCCTTCACAATCGCATTTTGTATGCATTGGCCATGCGCAATGAAGGTGAGAATCAGGCTGCTCAGGACCTCGTGGATGGATTGATGACCGAATGGACGCCGGCCTCGGCCCTGAGGTTCTACGGTCGAGAGGATCCGCTTGCAGAATACCTTAGCTTCTGCTTTTTGCCAAAGGAGTCCCACATCGAAAAGATCATGTTGCCAGAGATGCCTGTCAATGAAGTAATCTGGATCTTAGTCTCTGACTCGTCATGTGCATTGATCACAGGGCGTAGGAAAACACTTAAGAAGTTTGACCTGTCCGAGCATTACCGGCAGCGCAAACCTAAGTATGTGACTGAGTTCATCCATGAGATGCTTTGGGGCAAAACTCTGCAGAAGTTGGTCAAGCGTGGGATTGAATTGGCCGCGGACGCCCGCGAGCGCTATCCTGATGCACGCATCAACCTGCATTTGTCCTGGTTCGGAAATGAATTGGTAGGAGAGGATGGGATTGCCCAAAATCCAAATTGGCCGTACGACGGCCCCAACGGGCACTGGCCCACGATCCTGGATGATTGTGAGCGCCACTTGACTTGGTTCATCAACAAGGCCCGGGAGTTGGATTTGCAGTCGGCCGGTCTCACGACCGCGCCTTGGTCCGCTGACTATGGCATCCATCCTATCTTTGATCAGTTCTTTGATGCATTGGAGCCCAGATTTAAAGCTCTAACCAGCAGCCTGCAAGGGCTTGCCAATCCGAAGTATCCGTGGCTGAAAGCAAAGGGGTACGCCGATGCAATGGAATTCAGAGACCAGTGGCATTTCGCCAACTCTGAAGAAAATCGCACGCGTCTTGCTGCCTATTGGACAGCTACCCTTTTCGCAATTGATTGCGGATGGCGGGTTGGCCGAATTGGTTTGGAGCTTACTCAGTGTGGCCAGGAAACATGGGATGATTTGCGGAGGAACATGAGCGCCGTCCTGGACGAGCTGCCAAGATCCTATCAGGAGACATGTGCAAACATCACCAAGTTGCTTTTTGGAGAGTCCCGAAGACACATGTGCCGACGGGCAGGTCATTCACCAAGGAGGACGTCGAAGCTCAACAACCAGACACCGAGGACTACATCGACACCAAGACGATGCCTTCTGGCACTTTTGCTGAGCCTCCCAAAGATGACCCTCCAAAGGCCGCCGGCGACGGCGAGCCCGCTGCATCCAGCAGAGCAACAATCCTGGTCCAAACAGCTGAGGTCATGTTGAAGTCGCGGCCGAAAGCAGCACCAGCACCAGTGGATGAGCCCGCAGATGACAAGAGAGCCACATCCAGCCAGTACCAGCCGCAGGCAACTGCGCGCTTAGAGGAACATGCATCCGGCCACGTGAAAGCATATTGGATGGAAGAGCATTTGCCTGAATACCAATATACAATGGTGACCAATGCAGACGGGGAAGATGTGCCCGGGATCCTCTTTGAAGGTACGGCTTATGAGCTGGAGCTGATATCGGCATCCGACGTTGAGACCATTGCTGGCCAGACTCGTGTCGACAAGAAGTTTTCCGATTTTGCAACTCGTGTCAACAAAGTTTGCAGGGGGCATGGATCCTGTGCCAAGGTGCCAATGGACAAAGACCTTTGGATTGACTTGGAGGATTTGCCAAAGCCTTCCGCAAGGAAGTGCCCCCAGATGTGTTCATCACTGTCGCAAACCTGTTTGGCACCGCAATGAAGATCGACAAGCATGGCAAGAGTAGGTTCCAATTCTTGTGTGCAAAGATCTCCCATTTTCCTGTCGACAATGGCCTAGGCATGCCGTATTATCCTGTGAAAATCCGTGCAATTCAGGGTCATTCCGAAGCTGCCTTGAAAACCGCAGGGGGTCTTTATGCCAATTCAACCATGGTGTATTGCTCAAACCAAGTATCCCCCGAGCGAAAAGCCGCCTTCACTGGCGTGCCCTTGTGTGCCATGACTGAGGTCCCTGAAATTGTTTTTCATCGCACGATGAGAAGCAGTTGGAAGAGCATCGCACAGAACGGCCTGATCCCAGGCGGCGGTGACACAGTCAACAGTGGCCGTGCTCATATCTACATGGCAGAACACTGTATCGGCACACAGGGATATCGATCTGGATTAAGAGCAAAATGTCCAGTCGAAGTCAAAATCGCAATGCGGCAAGCAGTTGAAGCTGGTGTCATCTTTAGTCGCACAGAAATGGATGGTATTTTGTGTTCAGAACGCATCCCACCGCAGTTTCTGGTCAGCATCTCAGAAGATGGACAGGTGCTTTGGTCCCGCGCCGAGAGCAATCTCGAGCCCAGTACATGGACAGGCGCGGAATCAGCCTCAGCACCGAAATCCACAGCGGTCACCCTGACTGCCCGAGATGACGCAAATGACGACCCAATGGATGACACCAGCACGGGGCGACCCGATGCCATGTCCACTGATGATGCAGCCACTGCCCCAATGCAAGTTGACCAGCCGTCCGCAAGGACGCGCCGTGTTTACATTGCACCAAAGTACTGCGAACCTTTCATGGGCTCATGCCCCCTCTGCCAGGTTGAGTACGTCAGTGGCCAAGTGACATGCACCACATGTGGATATGAGCCACTCCCAGTGGACGAAAGTGGCGAAACAAAAGAGGCCGACAAACCCAATAGGAGGACCCGCATCCTTGAACGGCGAATGCAGAGTCTCGCCGGGTTCGGAATGTTTGGGAAGATGAGCGGCACCTTGTTGACGGCTTTGACAAATGAGCAAGCCGATCTTCTTCGCCGGGAACTGGGCCCCAGGGGAATCACATCCGTGGAATCAGCAGTCCTCAAAGACTGCCGCGACAGGCATCGACGTGCAAAAGCGCTGGGATATGAGGATGTGGAAGACAGATTCGCCAGCGATGTCACTTTTTGCGACCGCATCCACGGCGAGGGGAAGGGCCTGCAGGATTGCATCTTTGATGATATGTTTGCATACGGCAACCTCCCCGATCCCCCAAGGACCAGAGCTCAGGTCTCGGCTGGCGTCGCCGCCAATGCCCAAAATGAAAGCTGCTTATCTAAGTTGATTTTCATGTCACAGCCTCGAGGCGTGGATGGGTTCCCAGTTGAGTTCCGCAAAACATGGAAAAAGGTCTGGGGTTTCATGTTCGGCCGCCACGTTTTTACAGAGGATGAATATGTCAGCTACATCGGCCGTCGTGGCGCATTCCGTGGCCTGTTGACCTGGAAGGGCACTGTCCAAGTTCCTTTTGATGGCACTCTTGAATTCCTCGAAAAGGTGTATGAGGAAAACCTTCCATTGGTTCGGGGCAACCTTGAACGCAAAGAGAAGCAGAGCGCCGCTGCAAAGGCTGGAGGTCCTGGAGGTCACAAGGCCGACCCCACGGTCGCGCCCACCGCTGAGCGAAAGCGCAAAGCCGAAGCTGATGCATCCGCCACCGCACATGCTGACACAGCCGCCTCAAGCTCTGCTCGCGCAGACGCCTCGCACGCTGATGCCCCAGTTGATCCCAACAATGCACCATTTCTTGCACCCGAACCACCAACATCCAAAGCAGGAGCACGACCATTCTTGGAGCCTGAGACGCCGCCCACTGCAAAAGCAGCAAGCACAGTCACATCGAAGGCTGCAAGCTCCGGTCGCCCGGATGCCTCTTGGAGTTGGAATCGTGATCACTATGGTGCACGCCGAGAATGGAGTTTCTGGCGTGGGGCTTGGTATTACCGTGACGAGGCCGGCGGCCGGTGGATCTATTGGAACCGCAGGTAGACGATGATTTTCTTTTGTAGCATAGCGCAAGATGCGGCATGGTAATGTGCCTTCCTTGCAAAGCTGCGCTGGGTTTTACGGGCTTGAGCTTTTTAGAGGGACCTTTGAAAGACTGCATAAAAATGTCTAAAACCAACTAAAGAAATTTGGCTACCCGCGAGGGTATGCTTTTCTGGGTTATTCGTTCTCCGCAGTCGTCCCTGCTCGCCCGAGGGGGGTGTAAAAACTCCTGCAGTAAAACCATGTATAATATATGTCATCGATCTACTCTGAAGCGTTGGTTCAAAAGAGCTGAGTGCTGAACGGTTTTAGCCCCATTGTTATTAACATTGTTGGCTGACCTTGTAAAATACAGGATTTTCGCTTGTTTTCCTTAAGAGATTTCTCAAACCACCGACACGCCGTTGCAAACGCTTCGAACTCCACAGGGTCGCCTGACGAGCTAGAAACCTCATGGCCAGGAGATGATGCTGACATGGCTGGGATGTTCCCGCGGGAGCTCACTTACCATGCGCTTGGTAAACAGCGAGGTCGACATGGTAATGGGGAAATCCTATGGTGAATGCGATGAGGCCACCGAAGGGCCCGGAACTCCCTTCTCTATGGCCCGAGCATCGGTGCCCACCATGTGGGATACAGTGAGATCTACTGCGTGACATGTCTTGATGATTCCACATGTTGTATGACATCACCATGATTGAACAGATCTTCAGTTCTCACAACCGGCTAGAAAAACGGAAAAAACATCGGTCTCAGCTACACAATTTTGGTGCTTTGATCTTTCTGAACATGTTTTGGTGTAAAAATAGTTTTCATAACACCAAAATAACTGTTATTGTCATATTGGGCCTTTAGAATGTCAAATTCCATGCATGTTGTTTATATTTTCATAATTCCCCCAAACTCAGAATTTTGTTGACGCCCCCTCGACGTTTGTAGCAGATTATATACATGTTAACATTGGAAGTCGCTTTTCTTGGGAAAACCTGTGCGAGAACGCGCTCGGGAAAAACACATAACATCAAACAATAAACAATGAAAAAAGATGCTAAGAAAGCTGTGGGCGACCCAAACCATTGTAGACTTGTGGACGCCGTCCCGCGACACGCAGTCAACCATATACTCAGCACCCTTGAGATACTCTTGCAAAATGATTGCCTCTCGTTGAGGGCCGCCTTTCCTTTGTGAGTTGGCCAAAAGGTGAAAGTGAGTTTCTGCCTCACCTTCGGTATGGCAAAGCTTCACGCCCTGGTTTCCAGAAGATTCAAGCGGCTTCACGATTATGGGAAACTCTTCAGCCTCAGTGAAGCCTTTCACTTCCCACCAAGTGTGGCCACAGACGGACCGCGTTGATCGCAATCCAGCAGATTTTACGGCCTCCTGCTGCATCTGTTTGTCACGACGATTTTTGACACCGCCTGCTGTGGTGTTGCCACGCAAGCCCATGTACTCCGACAAGGCATCCTGACACCATCATGCTACCGTCGCCCAGACATCCCCTCAACTACTAGCTAGGGACCTCTGGTGCTCACTTTAGACCCTGAAAACTGGGTATTAGCCTTTGGGCGATTCTGGCTGACCATGCTTGATCTGTACCTAGGGTTCCTGTTTTAGGATCTGAGACCGTTTTACCGACAAGCCATGCTGCTATCATACTGCCCTATATGACTATATGAGCGAAAGATGATGATGATGATGATGATGATGATGGTGGTGGTGGTGGTGGTGACAAGGCTGCCCTTGACCGTTCGTCCGTAACTCGGAAGTTTGCGAACAAATGTTGATCATCATGTTGTTGTTGTTGTTGGTGGTGGTGGTGGTGGTTGTGGTGGAATGACTGGCCTTGGAACTTCCCTTTTCGACGCTCATTTCTAATATTTCTATCTTCATCCATGGCACCTGGTGTTTTCCCTACAAAATGAGGGGGTCTGCGAAAGTTGAAGCAGGATCTCGGCCTGTTTTCAAATTGGCTTACTACAAAATGACCCCCAAAACCCAATTTGTAGGGGCCTTACACCCGCGCAAATCGTAGAGGCAATTAATTTAAATTGGAAGGGGTATGCAAACAAGGCGTGGGAGCCTACATCCTGATGGAATATCTTTTTTCAGATCCAGAATGAACCAAAACGCATACGTCTTGACGTCTTCGCGCAAGCATCTGTCAACTTCACACCAGTGTCTCCGCCACAAATCACAGCCAGCGGCTCGGACTGGGCCACATCGCGGACCAGGTCAGCAGTCAAGGCAACAGTCGCCTGCTCGTCCACCTGGCAGTTGCCAGTGCTCCTTCACTCCAAGCAACTGACCTGTAACAACTTCTAACTGCAAAAGCATAACTTGAGGCCAAAGGGAAGGGACGAAAGCTGGTGGGGCAAGGAGGGAGGGGTAAGGAGAGATACGTAGCTGCCGCAGCTGACATGACGGCGGTGTGAGCAATGAACAAAAGCGGGCGACCAGAACTCAAAAGGATGGAAAAGGGCGTTCAAGTAGGAGTCGAAAGAGTACTGATTAGAATAGATGCATGGTTGGACCTCTATTGCGATGATGGGACTGCCGAAGGTCTAGACAAGACGTAGATTTTATAAACCGAAATCTGATTGTCCGTGGCTCCAATTTGGGAGCACCAAAACCGAAAGAATACTGATTAGAAGCCATGTTGGGCCTCTATTGCGATGAAGATGTAAAGAAGCTATAGGGCCCAGATCATGAAGAAAGACGTTGACGATCGTTAACGTAGGAGCACGCACGGGACTGCCGAAGAGACAAAACGTGGATTTGAGAAAGGCAAATCTGGCGATCCGTGGCTTCAATTTGGGAGCTCCAAAACTGGAAGATCACTGATCAGAACAGATATCTACACGGTCGGGCCTATATTGCGATGAAGATGTAGAGAAACTAGGACCTAGATCAGAAAAAGAGACGTTCAAATAAGACCACGGGACTGCTTAACCTAAAAGACCTCGCTGTTATGAGCGCAAGTCTGGTGTTCCTTGGCTGCACTTGGCAGCCCCAAAACCGGAAGATATTGATTCGTATAGATTTATGGTTGGGCCTCTATGATGTTGAAGATGTTAGAAATAGAAATCTGGTTGTCCAATTTGGGAGCTCCAAAACTGGAAGATCACTGATCAGAACAGATATCTACACGGTCGGGCCTATATTGCGATGAAGATGTAGAGAAACTAGGACCTAGATCAGAAAAAGAGACGTTCAAATAAGACCACGGGACTGCTTAACCTAAAAGACCTCGCTGTTATGAGCGCAAGTCTGGTGTTCCTTGGCTGCACTTGGCAGCCCCAAAACCGGAAGATATTGATTCGTATAGATTTATGGTTGGGCCTCTATGATGTTGAAGATGTTAGAAATAGAAATCTGGTTGTCCAATTTGGGAGCTCCATATCCGAACCATGGCTGATCAGATTAGATGCTTCGTTGGACCTGTATTGCGTTGATTAAAGTGGGGCCACGGAATTCTGCTCGAATTTGGGAGCAGCATAGCCGAAAGCAGAATAAATCCATCGTTGGACCTCGATTGTGTTGAAGATGTAGAGGACATAGGAAATAGATCATGAACGCAAGTGTTGAAGCAGGACTGGCAAGCAAGCACGGACAGTCAGATAGAATCAATGTGGCCACAGCTTCAGAAGTTCGGCAGCTTTCATAGATACATACATACACGCAAGCACACATACAAACAGACAGGCACACATCGGGATGGACGTTCGAACCTGCAGGGGCCAGGGGGGCACGGGGGGACGGGGTGGGACAGTTCGAAGTGAGATACCACTGCCAACAAAGGGGCCCCAAAATTAGTTCGACGTGATAGATCACTGGCCCTGCATTCAGTCTGCCAAAAATTCATTTGCTAAAATTGGTTAAAACTAACTCCAGCTAGCAAGCTAGCTTTCATGATTAGATATGCTATGAATTGCTATGATATAATTACCTGATGCTATCCTCCCTCCAACAATCACAGAAATGAAAAATGGATGAAAAATGTTGAAAATAACCTGTCCGTGGAGGAAAGGTGAGGAAAGTAGCCTTCCAGCAATCCATCCCATCCTCCACTTCCATGTTTGTTTGAAGGCAATACCGTAAACTTCAAGTAGATGTGTCTTCGCAATAAGATCCCAAACGAGTTTGACTTCCACCCACCTCGGCGAAGAATTTCTCGGGAAACCCTTTTGCTGCTTTGGGCATACGCCATCGCAGCTCACTCGAATCCGCTGTCCACATGGCAATGACGGCATAGCCTTGTCGGTCAGCCGGTCAGGTATCTCAACATGTTCAAATGGTTAAGCGTGAAGGGATTTGCCGTCTTACCGGCATTGGCTGGTATCTCACACAAATTGCTGACGGACAATATCCTATACAACGCCGTGGAACCGTGGGAACTAACCGTAGTGCCCGCACGAGGCGGGGGAGGAAGTTTCAAGAAAAGAAGGACTATAGCGAAAAAGGGGCCTATAGAAAAAGAAGGTTGGTGTCGTCAGGTGCAGCTCGACTGACGCAAAGTGATGTGGCACGAAGGAAGAAACTGAAAGGACGAGAATGAATTGCTGAATTGAATGCAGCTGAACTGAACGGAATTGATTCAACCGCATGAAAAGGATTGAGTTGAACTGCGCAGATAGGACAATAAAAATCAACTGACATGATTTGGATCTAACCGATGATGGCAATGAACAAAAGTTTGATTGAACTGAGTTGTCTTGACATGATTGGTTGATTGATTGAATGAAAGGATGACTTGAATTGGGTTGAATTGATTTGAACTGAATTGAATTTGAATTGAATTGAGCTGCCTTGAAAAAATGAAACGGCATGAAATGAAAAAACGAAATGACGTGAAAATGAAAAGAAATGAAACAGGTTGGTTTTGTATAACAGAACTTGCACAAAGCCCTTCACAGTACTACTTTGTACTACAAAACTTGCACAAAGCACTTCCCAGTACTACTTTGTACTACAAAGCTTGCACAAAGCACGTACCAGTAATACTTTGCACGACAAAGCTTGCACAAAGCACGTGCCAGTACTACTTTGTGCTACAAAGCTTGCAGAAGAAGCTCCCAGTACTTACTTTGTAGTCGAAAGCTTGCACAAAGCACTTCCCAGTACTACTTCGTACTACAAAGCTTGCACAAAGCACTTCCCAGTACTACTTCGTACTACAAAGCTTGCACAAAGTACTTCCCAGTACTACTTCGTACTACAAAGCTTGCACAAAGTACTTCCCAGTATTACTTTGTACTACAAAGCTTGCGCAAAGCACCTCCCAGTACTACTCAAACGGAGGTTCCGTTGCGGAGAAAAGTTGGCTTGCTTGCGCGACGGGCGCGGGCGTCGTCGCCTTTGTTCTCGAACTGCGCGCGCAGTGGAACTGATGGTTCCAGGTGACTTTTTCTCTTCTTTGATGATGCTGTGCTATTGTGTTTTGCATGTGTTGAGACACTTTGTGCATTGGAACTGCTGCATTGAAGAGATGCGTTCACTTCTTGAACTTTGCAACTCAATGTCTGCAGATCGCACTGGAATGGCTGCGTCAAGGTTTCTTGCTTTTGTAGCTGCAAACGTAATAGTTTTTGTGTTTTGCATCTGAGAGTCGTAAATCGCATTCTAATAGCTGCATGACAGTGGCGAATGGGGCTTTCGCAGCGGATTTTGTTCATTTTGGCATTGACTCGATTTTGTTCATTTTGGCATTGATACTTTTCCTTTTAAGATTCTGTTTGAAAAGTGTTTCAAAATCGTCGTTTTTCCGCTTTGGCGTCGAGATCCAGTTTTGGAGCTGCAAATCGCAGCAATTTGTGGAGCCGCTGTGCGTAATTCTATTGTGTTTGGCAACTCGAGCATCAGTGTTTGCAGATTGCAGTGGCATGGCTGCGTCACGGTTCCTAGCAGCTGCAGCTGCAAGCGTAATACTCTTCTGTTTTGCATCTGAGAGTCGTAAGTCGCATTGTAATGGCTGCATGAAAGTTGCGAATGGTGCTTTGGCAGCAGATTTTGTTCATTTTGGCATTGATGCTTTTCCTTTTAAGATTCTTTTTGAAAAGTGTGTCAAAATCGTCGTTTTTCCGCTTTGGCGTCGAGATCCGGTTTTGGAGCTGCAAATCGCAGCAATTTGTGGAGCCGTTGTGTGTAACTCTAGCATTTGGCAACTCAGTGTTTGCAGATGGCAATGGCATGGCTGCGTCACGGTTCCTAGCAGCTGCAGCTGCAAGCGTAATACTATTGTGTTTTGCATCTGAGAGACGTAAGTCGCATTGTAATATGGCTGCATGAAAGTTGCGAATGCTGCTTTGGCAGCAGATTTTTTTCATTTTGGCATTGATGATTTTCCTTTTCAAAATCGTTTTAAAAAGTGCTTCAGAACCGTCGTTTTTCCGCTGCGGCGTCGAGATCCGGTTTTGGAGCTGCAAATCGCAGCAATTTGTGGAGCCGTTGTGCGTAATTCTATTGTGTTTGGCAACTCAGTGTTTGCAGATTGCAGTGGCATGGCTCCGTCACGGTTCCTAGCAGCTGCAGCTGCAAGCGTAATACTCTTCTGTTTTGCATCTGAGGGTCGTAAATCGCACTGTCATGGCTGCATGAAAGTTGCGAATGCTGCTTTGGCAGCAGATTTTTTTTCATTTTGGCATTGATGCTTTTCCTTTTAAGATTCTTTTTGAAAAGTGTTTCAAAATCGTCGTTTTTCCGCTTTGGCGTCGAGATCCGGTTTTGGAGCTGCAAATCGCAGCAATTTGTGGAGCCGTTGTGTGTAACTCTAGCGTTTGGCAACTCAGTGTTTGCAGATGGCAATGGCATGGCCGCGTCACGGTTCCTAGCAGCTGCAGCTGCAAGCGTAATACTATTGTGTTTTGCATCTGAGAGACGTAAGTCGCATTGTAATATGGCTGCATGAAAGTTGCGAATGCTGCTTTGGCAGCAGATTTTTTTCATTTTGGCATTGATGATTTTCCTTTTCAAAATCGTTTTAAAAAGTGCTTCAGAACCGTCGTTTTTCCGCTGCGGCGTCGAGATCCGGTTTTGGAGCTGCAAATCGCAGCAATTTGTGGAGCCGTTGCGCATAATTCTATTGTGTTTGGCAACTCAGTGTTTGCAGATTGCAGTGGCATGGCTGCGTCACGGTTCCTAGCAGCTGCAGCTGCAAGCGTAATACTCTTCTGTTTTGCATCTGAGGGTCGTAAATCGCACTGTAATGGCTGCATGAAAGTTGCGAACGGTGCTTTGGCAGCAGATTTTTTTCATTTTGGCATTGATGCTTTTCCTTTTAAGATTCTTTTTGAAAAGTGTTTCAAAATCGTCGTTTTTCCGCTTTGGCGTCGAGATCCGATTTTGGAGCTGCAAATCGCAGCAATTTGTGGAGCCGTTGTGTGTAACTCTAGCGTTTGGCAACTCAGTGTTTGCAGATGGCAATGGCATGGCTGCGTCAAGGTTCCTAGCAGCTGCAGCTGCAAGCGTAATACTATTGCGTTTTGCATCTGAAATTCGTGAGTCGCAATGTAATGGCTGCATGAAAGTTGCGAACGGTGCTTTGGCAGCAGATTTTGTTCATTTTGGCAATGATGATTTTCCTTACCGGGAAGTACTTTGTTCAAGCTTTGTACTACGAAGTAGTACTGGGAATTACTTTGTGCAAGCTGTGTAGTACGAAGTAGTACTGGGAAGCACTTTGCGCAAGCTTTGTAGTACGAAGCATTACTGGGAAATATTTTGTGCAAGCTTGGTAGTACGAAGAAGTACTGGACAGTGCTTTGTGCAAGCATTGTAGTACGAAGTAGAACTGGGAAGTACTTTGTGCAAGCTTTGTAATACAAAATAAAACTGGGAAGTACTTTGTGCAAGCTTTGTAGTACGAAGTAGTACTGGGAAGTACTTTGTGCAAGCTTTGTAGTACGAAGTAGTACTGGGAGGTACTTTGTGCAAGCTTGGTAGTACGAAGTGAAGTACTTTGTGCAAGCTTTGTAGTCAAAGGAAGTTTCGTAGAGAAACTCCGAGTTACGGACTTTCACATTCTCAGTAGCCCAGTTGGCATGTGGCTCGAGAGATCATTAAGTCCAGTTGGCATGTGGCTTTAGAGATCATTAAGTCCAGTTGGCATGTGGCTCTAGAGATCATTATGTCCAGTTGGCATGTGGCTCTAGAGATCATTAAGTCCAGTTGGCATGTGGCTTTAGAGATCATTAAGTCCAGTTGGCATGTGGCTTTAGAGATCACTAAGTCCAGTTGGCATGTGGCTCTAGAGATCATTAAGTCCAGTTGGCATGTGGCTTAAGAGATCATCAAGTCAGAGATCATTAAGTCACATTTGCATTAGCTAGAATAGAGAAAAGTAGCATTGGCACTAGCTGGAGTAGAGGTAGAGTAGAGGTAGAGGTAGAGTAGAGATACTGGTCGAGGTAGAGTACTGTAGAGTAGAGTATTCGAAAGGTAGCTGCTCTACTCAGTAGGCTTAATGATTGTACATAGACACGAAGATGATAACACAAACGAATGTTGAAACCATGATCCAATGGAAAGGCGATTCAACTGAGCTGAACAAAAAAGTTTGCAACTGAGTCACTTCGACTGGGCTGAGAAAAAATTGGACAGGTGCAACTGAGGTGAAGTGAGTCAACACGAATTGAAAGGAGTTGAGATGAGAAGAAAGAGATGAAATGAGAGTTGAGGAGAGTCAACAAGATGTGCGCAGGGTGAAGGTCGATGAGAAGAGATGACAAGAGGTGACAAAATCGTTGAACAAATTGCGACATGATGCAAAATTTTGGACGAAGAGCTCAGAAGTTCCGGAACGATGATGGAAACCTGCCACAGTTCCTATAGGCAAAACTTTTCTTTGGATCCTACAGCGGTACACTTCTTAAACCTGGAAACTTCCGCCACCCGGCTTGCCCGGGCTCTACTTGTACTGTATGGAAGCTTCAAAACACTATCATGTAGTGACATGAAGCATTATAATATGTCAAAAGATACCATATGATACCATGGAATGCCATGTGGAATATCCATTGAAACAGGTTGAACGGTTTTTACCTGGCCTCGCTGCTGTATAGTGGTTGGTCTGGTTGGGTTTTGTGTTGTCTGTCCCCTGCCCGGCTTCCTAGTGGATAATGTTGATGATGATTGAGCGGGCGCGGCTTGGCCCTACTTACCTAATTTCCTCACTTTGGAAATCTTTCTTCAGGAAGTTGTAAGATCGGTTTTAAGTTTTGAGTATAGTTGAGTTAGGTAATGGGACTTACGGAACTCA